CGGGCCTCAGCCGCCGCCGCTCATGGGCTCTGCAGCCCGGCCCCGGACCGAGCCCGCCTCTCTCCGCCTCGCGCGCCGGGACGAGGAGGAGGAGTCGGCGCCGCGCGCCACCGCGTCCTCGCCCGCGGCCCCGCAGATGGCAGCGCGGTCCCCGGTGCCGGGCTGTGACCGCCGGACTTCGGGAGCCTCCCGGCAGCCGCGATCCCGGGACTCAGCCGCAGAGCCGCCGCGCTCTCGGGCTAGCGAGCAGCCGGGCGCCTTCTGCCGCTCCTGGCCTCCGCCTCCTCGCGGCCTCCCTCCGCCTCCTCCCCGCGCCCGGCCCGCCCTCTCCCCCGCCGAGGTGGAGGTAACCGCGGCACCTGCTGCGCCCCGCTCCTGAGCGCGAGCGCCCCCTCCAGCCGGGACGCGCCGCTGCAGCCGCCGCCGCCCGGGATCCACGGGAGGGGGCGGGGAAGCGGGACACCGGGCCCGGCCGCAGGATCCCGCCGGTGCTCCTCGCGCGGAGCCGGGGGCGCGCACCCCAGGTCGCCTTGGGGCTCGGCTCCACCCCTGCAGGGGCTCCATGACCTCTGTCCTGGAGGTGCCGCTCTGGGCACCCCTTTCCCGGTCCCTAATGGCAGGGTCTCGGCTTTCCTGCGCGACCCTCTCCATGCTCAGGTTTAATTTCATGTCCAGGAGAGGTGGGCAGGGAGGCGCCTGTACGGATTTCAGGTTGCGGGTCCCCTGCAACGTCAGGCCACTCGCTCCCGCCCCCACCACCCACCCTCAAATCGCCATGTCTCCCCCCCACCTCCCAGATGTGCTGCATAAGCACAATGCTGAAGCCTACATCGCCACACGAGTTCCAGATGACACCGTAAACGTGAATGGTGACAGCCTCCCCACCCGGGTCTTGGATTCACAATTGCAGCGCTCTGTGCACAGGTGCACACATCCATGCTCTCCAGGAGACACACGGCTCCCTCTCCGGCTGGGGCGCCAACCTTGCCCAGCCGAGCTATATAAATAACACCAGCCCTGCAGCAAACGCTGCATTAGCATATTTTCTCTCCCCCCCCACCCCGGCCCACACCAGTGAGAAACGCAGCACCTTTCACCCTAGCGTCCCCACACGTTTAAGACATTTCATATTCCGAGTTTATTAATGGAAGTCTTAAATGGAGCAATCCATTTCCAGTCTTATTTGGGGCAAAAAAAAAAAAGTGAAAGAAATGCTTTTGCTTTCCAAAAGAATACACTGTAAGCTGCATATACTGAATGTGTTCTTTTGCATGCTTTACTATTTGCTCAGCTACCTGCTGGATAATCTAATGTAAGAGGCTTTGAACCTTCAGGGAGTTTGGTGTTGTGGGCACTGGGACTGTTCCGGAGACTGCCAGGGGGCCGGGCCTCGGGGCAGTGGGCGAGGAACATCCCTGAGGGGCTGGGAAGGGGACAGGAGATAACAGGCTGAAGCTGAAGGGGGCAGGGCTGCAGGACACTCCAAACCTTTGAGGAATGGGTCTCAAATCCCGCCATATTTCAGATGCTGTTGCACACTGCTATGTGGTAATGATTTCTTTTCCAGCCCCACGGTATTTATTAGCTTCAGCGTTTACTTCCCTCCCTCCCTTCTCACAAGAGGAGCTAATACATGCAAAGCACCGAGGCCATGCTTAGCCATGTTAGCCATTTATTACAGGAGATGTGATTGAAAAATATGGTGAATATTTAAACATTTTATTACAGAAAAGACAATTTGCCACAAATCCCCCTCAAAATACCCCCACTCCCTTTGAACACACGTATCCCACCCTCTCGCCTCTCTCTGAAGCACTTCTGGAAGTCCTTGTTCATGAGTGCCTTTAGTTGCGATGTTGTGGCTGCCTTCGTGACCTGAATCTATTCAAAGGTTTTCCTTTCATGGTCATTTTGACTTTGGGGAAGAGCTGGAAGTCGTACGGTGCCAGCTGGGGTGAGTAAGGTGGGTGAGAACATGGTGTCATGTTTTTATGAGCTGCCTTTCTGTTGGATGGCACCTGGTCGTTACATTCACTCCACTCTCCATCACACTTGGTAAAGACACTGTCACGCTTTCTGCAACTGTCACGAACCATCTGCATTTCTCTTTCTAAATTCAAACGTAACATTTTATTTACTTTGCCTTCAGTGTTGTTTCTTCCTCAAAGAGGACTTTTCTGTGTTTGACTCTGCCTCTTTTTCCCGAATGTCGCAAGGACCCATTTGCTTGTTTTAATTCACTGCAAAACAGGCGCAGCCATTGATCTTGATAATGGCTGTTCTAACTAGAGTAATAGTCGGACCACACCTTTCAGGATTGGCTTTCAAGTCACCCTCTCCTTGCATCTTCGCCTTGCGGATGCAGCGGGGAGAGTTCAGTGCCAGCTGTTAGGACGGACGGAGTTACCCCCTGCAGGTTGGAGTCCAGTCCTTTGGGATTGGACATTCCAAGCTTGCTCCTTCTCCAAGTGGGGTGGAGGCTGCTTACAAAAGCACAGGAAAGCCTTTAAGAAGATACTCATTTAAAGGAAGGAGTATGACTGATGTATTCACTTCCTTGACTGTAGTGATTATTTCACTGTATATGTATGTGTCCAAACAACCTGTACCCCTCAAATGTATACAGTAAAAGTAAATTAAAAGCTTTACAAAAGGAAAATAAAGTTCTGTTTGCCCTGTGGGAGGGATATTTGTTAATGTGCCTTTTGAAGCGGGAGAATCCCTAGCCCTGAAGGAAGAGCTTATTTTGCAGCTAGTAGTCTTTGTTTCAGACAGGTGATAAAGACCCTCAGAGGGTCCATTCCCAGAGTCTGGACACACGCACACCAGAGAATGGTACTCTCTAAAATGTAAGCTGGAAGGAATCAACGCAGGATACTTGGAGTTCATCATCTGCCACACTGACCAGGCATTATAATTAAGTTGTCGATTAGATTAGAGGTTTCCCTAAATCCCTCTTGGATCCACATTTCCCCCAAATCCAGTCAAGAAGATTAAAATGTAACTAATTTAGATAAGTGAGCCTTCTGTTTATTAAAACCTGCCACAAGTGACCTCATACTAGGACCTAGAACAAAAGGAGTGAAGAGAAAGAAGCAGACCCTCCGGTCCTCTGGGTGAGTATGTTGGGCCCGGGTTAGTGTGGGAAGTCTCCAGACCTGCTCTAATTTCCTGCGTAACTGGGTGACCGTTACCTGCTATTTTTATTATTTACTTATCAATTTACTTCCTCCCACCTCTAGAAGGTAAGTGCCGGTGGGACAGGTACTCTGTCCTCAGCTTTATTCCTGGCAGCTCACGTGGTGCCTGGCACATGTAAATTCTCAATACTTATTTGTTGAATAAATGATTATGCCCAATTATTGTCATTTGATGATACCATCTGGTAATATCATACAATTGGTTTTACTTTGATTCGTAACTCACTAAGCAAGCTTTTCATATTTGTTCAAACTCAGTGCTCACATCGGTCAGCTTGAGAATTCAAGCAAACTGGACAATTACATTTCTCTCTCTCTCTCTCTCTCTCTCTCTCTCTCTCCTCTTTCTGTGGTACTGAGGATTAAACCTGTGGTTTGTGCACTGAGCTACAGCCCTAGACTTACAGTTTTTATTTTGAAAGAGGATCTCACTAGATTGTTGCTTCCCAGGCTGGCCTCCAACTTGTGATCCTCCTGTCTCAGCCTCTCAGAGTGCCGGTATAAAAGCCATACACCACCACACACGTTGACAGTTATATTTCTTCTTGTAATCGCTGTGGTTAGTGGGTTCTCTCCCAGTGCGAACCTCTTGTGGGCAGTTGTTGGCTTGCAGATGGCAGCTTATAGGCCAAATGCAGCTTACAGGCCATGTGCAATGTTTCCAGAAAAACAATCACATTTCAAAATTGAAAGATTGAATATTTTTTAAAAATGTGTTTGAGGCTTCTCCTGTCCTAGCAGAAGCCCTGGCCCTTTGGATGCCCTGTGCTGGCAGCTTCCTTGGGCCGTGTAAGTGGGCAGGTGTTCTCCAGCTCCCCTGCACCTCCAGGAGTACTGTTTGGCCTTGGAAGCATCTGCATGTGACCCTAAATGTATATTAGTGTCTCTTGTGCAGCGATCTCCATAAAGAAATGGAGTCATTCTCTTTTCCTTTGAAAGCCTGTTAAATAATCCACCAATGTATAACTCCCCCAAACTGAGAAAATAAAGAAGATAAGTGAAAGATACAATGCAATCGCTTACCCACTCAAATAATTTTATTTCCTTGGTGATAACAAGAGAACAAAAAGGGTTTTTGGCTTCTAAAATTGATGGAGACCTAATTTTAAATGTCGCCACAATTCTGTAAGAGTTAAATCCAAGGAACTGGTGTCAAGGTTAATTAACTTTAAAAATACAATTAATTCCCATCATATCAAGTGGATTTTATCACACTGCTTTTATTTGTACATTCGTATTCTTTATATTTGAATTACAGATGGATAGATCGCATATTGGAATGTCACATGTCTTTCTTTTTCTTATAGCAGTTTGATTTCCTCCTCTCAAATAATTATTTGAGAAGTGGCTATTTCATTTTGGAAGAGTTATGAAATAACTTCCATCTCTAGTTGTGTATACAGCCCTTGCGTATCACCTATATCATCTTTAGACTTTTGGAATGTCAACTCTGACTTTTTAATAAGGAACTTGACATTTACAAAACCTATCATAAATGAAAATGAAAAGGCTACTTTTGTTCAGAGGTAGAAGTAATAAAAATGTCACATAATCTACCCTAAGAAAGCCACAGTGGTGTCTTGAGAAAACTACCTGCTCACCCAGTACATGCCACATTCTTCCTTCCTGATCAGAAGGCTACATGAAAATAAATAAGTGAGGAAGCGGAAGCTTCTATGCAAAAAGCTACTCCATTGCAAATGTGATAGGTAGGGCCCAATCTTGGTCAAAATTTTATTTTGAACTCTTTTATTGAGTTAAAAAACAATTGGTGTAACAAAATGACCTAGAATTTGATATTGGCTTGTTTGCTGAAAACTACAGCTGCCATCTTTGCTTTATTGTGCTTAAGAACAGAGAGAGAGAGAGGACATGTTTTCCACAAAGGTTAAAATTAAAAACCTTAATTTCATTAAAAAAATCTTCTAACTTAAAAAAGTCTTAGTGACTTTATCCATACATTTATGTAGTTTTTGCTATCGAAATGATAAATTGTAATTCAAAATCCTCTTGAAATGGCCCAAAATTTGACTGAAAATAATATACATACATAGCCAGTTTCTAATTATGAAGAGCCCTTTATTAGTACCTGATAGTAATAAGTGGAAGCCAGCCTTTCTAAAGACAGAAAGGCTGTCCAGAGCCGAGAGCAGGGGCATACACCGATAACCCCAACCAGACAGGAGCCTGAGGGGGATCCAGAGTTTGGAGATAGCCTGGGCTACCCTGTGAAGCACTGAATCAAAAAAAAAAAAAAATCAGGCTGGGGATTTAGCTCAGTGGTTCTTCTGCCTGCCTTGCAAGCACAACAAGGTCCTGAGTTCGATCCCTGGCACAGAAAAAAAAATTATCTAAAAACTATCTTTTAGAAAAACCAATGACTTGGGGAAAAAACCATATTGCCCAAGAAAGTATATTCTGGGTCCATGATACAGTCCCTCTGAGAGTTCT